AGTAAAATAGCCGAAGCTGTATCTCAGAATGAGGCGCGCCGGCGTCAGCCGGCAAAGCCGGCTGGTTTTAAATATCCTCTCAAGACGTAGTGCACAATTAAATGGCGTGAGTAGCGGAAGTGAGTAGCAAACATGAATTCGTAGGTGCTAGTTGATTAGTTATTAAAGAGAATTAGAGGTTTTATTTTTTTAGCTTTTCCTACATGTCAGTTAAGTTGTTTGTTTGTTCTACCAACGGTACCCTTTCTGTGACTGACTACAATAAAGTAAAGAAGAGCAGAACGCCCAGGTAATTTCAAGCATTGGAAGAGCGGGGCAACCAATAGTGACGCACAGACAGGCTAGACAAGGTGTGGGCGAGAGCTATGCAGGCGCGCACGCACAAAAAGGCGAGAAAGCAATCCCATCACCTCCTGTAGTCGTTATTTTACAAGCATATTACCTGGGCGGCGTTCCTGGACATCGATTTGTACGCCTGGATCACTTGTTAGAAACAAGATCATGGTGTCATTATATAACATAAAATCCCAAAGTATAGTAAATTTACAGGATATCTATGGTCTCATAATGTCCATACTTCAAATTTCCCACGAATTATCGAAACACTGCTTGGATATTGTTACGGAAACAGAATCGCTTTCGAAACATTCACAGGCTCATAATGAAAGTGGTAGCCCAGTGTCACATCCGAAAACCACCAACCTCTTGGTAAATCAGGCCAAATTACATGTAAGTTACTTTCGATACTCCCACGCTATTAATCATCGATGAATAAATTTCGATTTTCAGAAAATATGTCTTGAATTGCATTCACGGATAAATGATCTGAACAAGAAGCAAAACAATCCAGCATTCATGATTCTCCTAGGTATTCTGGAGTAACGGTTTTCCTTCATTCCAGTGATTTACGAGTTACAGATAGTGGGTGATTTAATATTATTATGTGGGCGCTCATGTAGTAGAGGACCACAGTTCAATACTAAATAGATTTCTACCCAAGAGGGAAAGAGCTGCAGAATGGTGAGGAAATCATTTTTCACCAAGTGCGGAGAATTTTCTTCTCATAGGTAGTTTACCCACATCGGAACATCTCAAAACGCATAACCTATTGGACTACGGACCTCTGCTACACCTGGCGCTATTGTTGTTGTTGTTGATTTTTGATTGTAGTTATGAAAAAGAAACGCATGAAAGTGGACCTTTCCATTTATCTGTATATCGGGAGAGGCACGGTATGGATCCAGAAATTTATATTAAATAATGAAATTTTATTCAAACAGGCAAAAAAGACTGTAACAATATACACCCCAGTTTAAACAAACTAAGCACAACGCGGAGTTGGAGGACACTCATGAACTAGTGAAATGAAAGCAACAAACGGAACAGTATTAGCAACATATGTGAACATGAGAAATGCAAATGACTAAAAATCGTGATGTCAGCCTTTTCTGTGAACAGTACTTCATCACCTCAATACTTCAATTAAGATTATAGAGCAATACTCTGGAAAATTTGTGACTTCGGCTAGCTTTGCACAGGGCTGTGACGATAATGAAACCGATTTCATTTTGAAATCTTTGAATTATCAATTCGGAGGCCCTAAACGAATAATAGCTCAGTGGTGCGAAACAGTATACAGTCTTTCCCACTGCGGATGGTGGGGTGTGTCCGTGGGTTTTGAAGCGGCATGAGCCCATTCACTACCAAATGTTGAAGACGCGAAGCTGCAACTCGGAGGGAAACTGGCTGGCACTTCGCCAAACCCATCCCCCTGACGCGCCCCCAGCTGTCTTTTTTGAGATCACCTAAAGATCTCCATCGTCGGAGTAAGCTTGAGCCTAAGCCTTGTAGATTTGAGCCATTGCTCAGTCGCAGGTTTTAGTTAGGCTACTTAAGGCGAGAAAGAATTGTGTGAGCATAGGGTCACTAAGGTATTCCTTTGAAAATGTCCCTCAAATGAGATAGGCCCTGCATTTGACTCCGTTCATATTCTGCGACTCGAGAGAGTCTGTGATCTGGGTAACCGGCGACAAAGTGTTGGTTCGATCGATTCCCATGTTCGCAAAGTATGAAGGCAGCCTCACCGATAATTTAGACCACCACATGGGAAAAGAACAGAAAATATATAGAGAATATCACCGAAAAAAAGGTTATGCGAGGATTTCTATTTGTTGCTGAAGAACTAGGAGTGTTATAGACGCAAATGTAGTTCTACGGCACTCATGATCAAAGTAGCACAGTCACTCACCACTGAAACTACGAGCGAGTGTCTTTTCGCGATGCGTTGTTCAGTCGGAGCGTCATCTGTTTGAAATTTCGCAAGTTACCAACTTCTCGGAACATTGCAGCTACAAGAGGGGAGTCACCATGTTCTAGTCCGTTTATCACATTCCTGAACTCCCACATTTGAGTAAACCTGGCTAAGGATGGAAATCAGTAAATTCACTGTCATTTACCTTGTTTCTTGGGAGAATTCTTTAGCGAAGAAAAATAACACTTCCGCGAGGTACTCGACAGTAGGGCGCAGCAGCTCCACTTGTATACGAAGGAATATTGTCTGATATATTCTCAAGGTACTTTACTACTTTAATGTTTTTAAGGGCTGATGGACAAAGATGTCGGTCAGGAGGCGCGCGTTGCGGCGCTGCAGCATCAGATGTGGTATCACGCGCTAGGCATTCCTACTGGAACCAAGCTGATTCGGAAAGAAAAACTGCCCACTGAAAACTAGCTATTGAGCCGAACCGCAACCTGCATCTCCTAACCGACACCCACCCCTACTTAATCATGAGCGAGTGACAAAGGCAGCGCTAATCACCTTTACAAGTGCTGGTCCATGGCTAGCAAGAAGAAGGCGGGGTGCTTCATCTCCAAAAGATATAGATTGACTTGCAATCACGGCCAATACCTGTGAAGCTAATCGAACAACACAGGGCTCACATGATTCTGCCAACGTCTGCAATGACAGGACATTTTGAGCTGCTATTGCTAGAATCAAAACAATTCAGTACGATAATCATGTACCTGTCCAGCAATTAAAATTGCGTTTGAAATGATTGGAAGTGAATTTTCTCCATTTGCACGCAGGGTTTTGTAGTTCTTCCTGAGAATCTGGAATTCGAATTTTTATTTAGAATTAGTGTTCTAATTGGAGGACTGCAACATTTCGTAGATACGGTAAGGAAAACAGACCTGGTATATTAACGAAAGCCACTCATCTATCGCATGAAAAGGCATGTTCCGAGCAAATAACTCTAACCACTGTCGTATTGAGGTACACAGTTGTGATGTGGTTGGGGTGTAATGTCCAAAAACCTACGAAAGGAATAAATTTCAAAATAAAAAAGTAAAATAACAGTATTGGAGAGAATATCACGGCGAATTTGAAAAAAGCTCTAGAGCTAATTTTGGTCGAGACCACAAGAAGTGGCATTTGGGATCTGGGTCGCCCCGCGATGTTGCTTCAAAGCCACCCTTCGGTATTTCCAGGTGGGTGGAGCCGGGAGATGGCATCATTGGCGCGTTCTTTTTCGTGTACTATGGCGATGAAGAAAGAGGAAAAGGAGGGGCGCGCTATTGACGCCATCGATACGCCCACCTGGAACTCCCTAGCGGTGTCAATAGGAGTTTGTAACCAGGGCACGTCCTACCGTAGGGGAAAATTTCTGCGAAACACGACACCCCCCTCCCCGCCCCAAGAATTTTCTCCTCTCATACGAGTTTTTTCCTATCCCAAATCTGGGCGCGGGTATACTGTATGTACGTGAAACAGGAAACACTGAGAGACACCATATTTCTTAGAGGCAAATATGACCCCCCCCCCCCCTCCCTCATCCAGCGATCAAGGCCGACCCCTTCGCTGTGGAACGTATGACGCGCTTTTTGTAGCTACTGAAGTCCACGAAACAGTGGCAATATTTCTATACTTGCTCTAGGGCGGGACTGTGTACTACCTGTTTTACGACCAGCCCGTTTGAGTTGCGGAAGAACAAAAAAGTATTCAATATACTCACCAGAACAGCAGACTTAGCTAAAGCACATGCAGAAGTGGGATTGGTAAAGAGAGCATGGTCAAGAAGTTGTGACACCAATGGAAGCGCCTCGGGCAGATGTTCCGCAGGTAAATTCGAAATGGCGCTACGAACAGCATCGCAGACCTGTATCGTATGCGCTAATACCACCAGGGCAAGTATGATGAGGAAATGTAAGTATTATCATGTACCTTATCACTGATAGCCGTTGGCACACCTGGGATCTCAATGATCTGCAGAAACACAGGGAAAACTTGACGAAAGATTATTACACTCGGAGGGTCATGGGCAGAATTTGTGGCTCCTTAAAATACACATTCTATCATAAAATCTTGCAAATACTGAGAAAGTACTGAATAAATACCTCCTCCTTTGCTATTCAAGCTTGCGAATAGACACGAGAAAATGCTGATTTGAAATTTCTTCTGCTCCAGTGTTCCATCACTATGCATCGATTCTTCGGCTCCCAAATCCCGTAGGTGAGGCGCCATTACGTTATTCAATATGACCTGAAATAAAGAAAAAGTTGCGAACAAAACCACAACTGGAAAAGTAAAAACTAGGTAGACAAACCATAACATCGTTGCTGGGCTTCATAGATAAAACGTATCCTATGCACTTTAAAGCCTCAAGACGTAAAGCCTGCCCGTTGGACTCATCCATGAAGAATGAATAGCACACTTGTGAAATATCGTCACCAATGGCCTGGAATTAGGGCCTTCAGGGGAATAAGCGTTCAAGAGGAAGGTATACAGTAATAAGAATAAAAGAGAAAAGTGGACCGCATACATGAAAGGAACAGATTTCTAAGCAACATCACAGCAAGCATCACGTTAACTCGGCCTTCCCTTAATACCCATTTCCTACGACCATCATTTTACGAAACCATGCGTGACACAGTGTTCAGGCTGAACTTCATTCCAGTTAACTATCCCCAGGTGAAGCCAGCCTTGGACAAGAAACCCAACTTCTTCTGAAGGAACTTCCCAAAACCCATGGCCGCTACCTTATCCCAATATCATCCCGGAAATATTTTGTTCAAATAATCACGAAATGAACATTACCATAACTCCATTTGATCGTTCCGAAACGTATTTCTCGAGTGTTCGCAGTGCTTCCTTACTGACAGCTTTTCGAGCTACAAACGGAAGAACTAGCCGTATAACGTGCCCCTCCAGTTCTGCTGCCTGAAATGTTGTCGTCACCAAACTTCAAAGTGGAAGATGAATTGGTGAGTTCAGTATTGCTCTAAGTAAATATAAAAGCTTATCAGTACACTGCACGGTTGTTGATGTTGAAAATCGTTTAACTTATCTTTCTAAGAATTAGTAGCACCCCTATGCAAGAGCTATCTTCTAATTCCGAAACGATTGTGAACGTTAGTGGAACGCACGGCGCACCCCAAAAGGAACTTATCAACACAGAGAACCTTCAACTGATCAACAGCAAGAACCGTCAGCTATCTATATGAGGGTAAGGTGATGACATCCATGACAACTTCCTCGAAGAATGGCTTGAATTCGCCTATTTCTGAGACTGTCAGGTGCGGGTACTTTTGAACTTCTACTGAAAAATTTCACGACTGCTCAGGAAGAAGTAGAAGCACTTACGTTATCGTGCTCTTGCACAAGGTGTGACAGAGCATGAAGGTGCCTCATCGTAGTGTTCGCTAATCTGTCTGCATCAGCTCCTTCGCCTATGTTTGATAATCGTGTGCACAGTTCGAGGTTTGTACAAATCTCCTGGTAATCCGATTCCGACAGGTAGTCAGCCACTGCTTCCCAGAAGAACATGATACATTCGGTTCTGCAGAAATGTTCAAGCTACCTCAGAATAATGATGGACGAAGAAAGATCTCTTACCTGCATAGATCACCTTTCTCTATAGCTGTCTCTAGCTCTTGGTTCAGAAATTTCAATGTGTCTTTTCCCATCATAAAATAGGCATCGATTGATACTTCGCTGCGAGCCATCCGATACCTAAGCAGGGATATGACTACCCTTCTCCCCACATTACGGGCAAGTAAGAAACGTATTGATCGCGTACGAATCGATGAAATGCCCCAAATCTGTCAAAAGTATAAAAGAAGGTTAGAATTTGT